GTTTAAAAAACAATAATTTCAATATAACGTACATCTATGGTCAAGGTTTTGGTAATGCCGAGACCCTGCAGTATTTCAGGGAAGTTCACATGCAAACAGGAAGGTATATCCCTTTCTTCCCCACAAGGGATCAATAAGTGGTTAAAGGTGCACTATTTAGAATAAAAAGCCTATCCCTGATGGTTTACTTATTATTTGTAGTAAAGAAGTGCCCAATGATCTTAGTCAAGGCAGTGGCCCACTGTTCTAGATGCCACAAGTCCAGTGGAAACAATTCCAACCTAACAAATTTATCTTCAGATCATAAAACAATAGGATTATCAAATAACTCCTTTGTATTTTTAATACCTGCACATTTATGCTCACAATTTCAATTTGAAAATGAAAAAAGAAAGAAATCAGCCTGAGTTGCTTAGCTTGCAGTAATTTTTCTGTTTGATAAACCATCCTCCCTCCCCTCCACCCCCGACTCTATGAGTTCCTCTGTTTCTCGAAGGCACAGTGCATATTTAAACACATGTAAAGATTTAACATATTGACCTCACTTATATTTAAAAATTATTGCAAAGTTTACTACATTTTGCTAAGTTCTTCACTACCTTCAGTGTTGCTTAGACACATTCATCCTGTCACACTGACTTCAGTACTAAATAAATCTATTTTGCACAAATGCTTGATTTTTATTCTTTTTTTGTTTAAATTTCTTTATTTTTCCCCATAAGACGATGAAAGCTAGTATATCTTTGTAGAATGTAAAAGAAAAACTAATTTGAAAAGGAGTTTTTAAAGACCCCGCCTTTCAGTTTGTTCCCTATAAAGAGATAAAAATAAAAACCGCAAGCCTCCCCCAGAACTCCTTCAGTTCTATACTCCCAAGGTTAGCAGGGCATTGTTGCTTAAGGCAAAATACCATTAATAGTTCAGAAACATACTAGAGATACCAGTAAGCACCCATATACCAAGGAAAGATGTGTGTTAAGGCATTTCAAGGGTTAATTATGCCATTATTACCAGAATAAGGCTTTTTCTTTCAAAGATCTTTTCTCATATAATTTTGTTTTATTCTACAGAAAGTAGCAGCAGCAAAAAGCACCCATATTTTTGGATGGCATAGAGCCTGGTTATGCTTATACAATCTAAACATGATATGGCATATAAAGTGTGGTTCTTTTCTAAAAGAAGTGATTCTATAAGCAGTGCTATAGGGTTATGTATTTCTTTATCAGTGCTTTCAAATCAGAATCATTCAGTTTGAACTGACATGAGCATTTGTTCTCTTAGAAATTTAATTTCAATTTGTGATCTAAATGTTAAACTCATATATTCTTATTAACATGAATTTCAAAGCAACAGACTCAAATATTCTTGATGTTCAACTGAAGTCTTTGTCTCCCCCAGCTCAAATTCTAAAATGTTCATTACTAGAATGAGTAAGAAGCTGGAAACAGGCTTTTATTAAAGTAAGAAGATAGAATACTGAGAAGTTCAGACAAACTTGCTGTTTAAGAAAGTGATATTTCTTATATAGACTTGTTTTTCAAAGCAGAACCATGTTTTTAAAATAAGAATGTAATAAACTAAGATTTTTAATTGTTACCTGTTATGCTCATTTATGATTAGGAAGTTGGTAACATTTATTACAAAAGTAGCTATATCCGTTCATTATATGTTAATGAAGCATTTTAAAATAGTCTTACTTTTTAGGAGTTTGCACTTATGCTCATATATAGATATACATTTAAACAACTTCTGGATCCAGAAATATCCACAGGAGAAATAATTTATAAATTTCAGCCATATAAACTCTTCTATACACATATATTTAAAAGACCAAGATCTGCTGAAGTTTGCTAATCCTCACCTCAGCTTTAGGACTCATTAATATTTTGCCATTTTACTGATTTACCTTTTCCAAATCTCTCTTGTCAGTAATGTTGTAGATTATGCAGTGAAAACATGTACCTGCTACAACAATTAATCAATTTAAACAATGTATTTTTTTGCACATCTTTCTATATAAATTCCTTGAAAATAGTTTGCATAATCCTGCATAAATACTAAAGCTTTACATCAATTAAAGAACATTTGACAGATTTAAAAACCATCATCTTTGCTCAAATTATTCCTGTTTTATGTCTAAAATAATTCCATTAACCAGAAACCAAAAGTTGACTACCTAGACAGATGATTCATTTAATTATGCAAATAACAACTCAAAACCCTTTATACCAAACAATAAAAAGACTATAAAACACTATACAAACTCAACGTGTCTACTAAATAGACATTTTTGCACAAGCCAATTTCAAAAAAACCTTTCTAACAAAAGCCTGGTAAGTCTGCATGCAGGTAAATGTTAAATTTAACTTTGAGAAACGTTTGTTGTTTTTTTTCCTTCTTTGGAAAACCTAACCAGCATAATTTGTTTCTCTACTTGTTTAAGCTTACGTGCAACTATCTGTTTTAAACATGTTATATCATTGGTCCAGTGGTCACGGAGCGAACTTACTTTCCTATAGAAAGACGGGGGAAATATTTACAAATATTTAATTCAAAACATTGCCTTAATAGGAGTGGTCTGGTTCCAATTATTACCCAGCAAAACAGCCTGGTTAAGAATTTGTTAATTAGAATGAGAACAGAAGCAAGAGATGGATTGTGCAAAGTTTTATGGGAAGAAAGATTAGAGATCACACCAGCAATGGGAGCTGAGAAGAAAGAGAAGCAAACAATATCGTGGGAGAAAGGAAGGGCAGAGACAAAATTGGAAAAGAGAACAGAAAGAATAGGGAACTGTTTGCAAAAGAACTGGACTGAAGTGTTACTTCAACTGTTGACCTATGTAGGTAACGGAGGGGGTTTCTTTTGTTAGTTGTTTTGTTTGTTTGTTTGTTTGTTTTGGGGGGGTGTTATATGTAATCTAATGAACAGTGGTCCTGCATTCTATAAATTGTATCCCATGCCTATGGCATTACTTATTGATAATCTACAAAACCTCATTCACTTTGATGGAAAGCTACTGTTTCTACTGACAATTTTTCAAAATATCATTATTTTAAGAATAGCTTGGGCAACGGGCCTGTACAAATTAGTGCCAGTGGGTTTCCTCACCACCCCAATTTATCCCATGCCGAGCAAGTTAATAGGTGGTATGATGTCTTCAGTGAAATCTCACAAACTGAGGCACTACGCATGGAGCACGTAGGTATAAATGTTAAATAATGTCTTAAGATGGAAGATAGTTCACCCTGCAAAACACTATTTTTCACCCAGATTTCTTTATACTTTAAACATATGAAAATGAGTTAAGCAACATGAATTTAATTTACTATTTAAATTGCAACGTGTTTTACATTTAAGAGCATGTTTTGTAGCACAGCAACAAAGTTTGATGTAGTATTTATTATAATTAAATTATTTTTATAACCTGCAATCATTTTCAGATTAAATACAAATTCACCTTTTAAAACAATCACCCTTAGTAGAAAACATGATCACACAATTTGGGGGAAAATGTAAAAGTATGACTAAAACCCCTATGTATCTTAGCATGTGACATCAAAAAGACCATTTTATTACATTAATGCACACATTATTAATTCCTCCTCTAAGACAGACTTGGGACATTCTTAGTTATTTTCTCCCTTACATGTTTCTTATCACAAGGAAGTTTAAAAATCCAATTGGCAATCAAATTTCTAAACAAGTAAGACTGGAATTGTGAACAAGGCAGCTATATAATGCAGAAGTCTCAGAATAGGTCACTATAAGAACTGAAACCGTATTAAAAAGTTAGACTGAGTCGATCTAATCAGTAAATATCAGAGAAAAAAAGGTCACTTTTAAATAATGCAAAGCACTAGTCAAGATGATTATTTCTGTAGCATCAACACATGGGGGGGGAGGGGATGAGGAAGAAAAACATGCAGTGAAGTTCTTTTCGATTGTCATGATCACACTTTAGGGTAATGCCAATTCCAGGGTCTCTGTCCATCTTCGTCACTGAAAAACTGCCGAAACTTCAGCACATTCACATCGGATGAGCAACCTAAACAACTTCAGGGACCTTTTCTCTACTACAAAGGGTTTGTACTATTTCCTGCAAAGCATACCAGTTTTACAAGAGTGTCAACTAACTTTGCAGTCCATAGCACTGCCTTTCAATTTACCAGAAAGTTACAGATTTCATTCTAGAATATCAAAATCACAATCTATTTAGAAAAGATAAATCAAAATTGTCACTTTTACTTTGTCCACATAAAATTTGACAAGTATTTTTGTACTCAATCACAGTGACATGGTCAAATGTGCTCTGAAAATATTTCTTTTGCAGAATTGAATAGAGATGTTGCATCTTAATCTTTTCAAATACAAACATGAAAAAACTCTCATTAAGACACACGCCTTTACAAGAGTCATCAAAACAAACTACTTTTCCTTCCTCCTTGAACCCACCAATACCAGTGTCTCACCAATTTATTCTTACAAACAAAAATAGTCTACAAGGACAGAAAAATATCTTAGTACTGGTAAACTATAAAGTAATTAAATCATATACCATGTACCCCAGTAGCTAGTCTTAGCAGGCTTTACGTAGTTATTTTTAACCTGTATGCAAGAGAAAAAAAGAAAATTCTTGTATGCTTTTTTTGATTTCTGTTTCAGAAGGCAACATCATTCTTATACGTGAATCATGTACCATCTTCTAGTACAGTACACTTGGCTGGTAGTTCCCAGGGTGAAGTCTATTGCCAGCAATGGACCCACTGGTAATAATAGGTATCCAGGAATTATATCAAATCTAAGGTGAAGTTTCGAATAACTTCAAGAGCTCCTGCATCAAAACCACACATGTCCAACATGCCTCTATCATCTGGATCTGCGATGGTAAAACCATTTGATGTCATTCCACAAACGATCAGTTTTGCTGGAATGCTCATCTTCTACAGGCAGAAAGGAAAGCAAATAAAACACTTTGAGAATGTATACCTATACAGCAAATTAATAATTATCTGGAAATAAATTATGTTGTCCTTACACCAGCAAAACTCGACCTGAGAAAGCACACTGCTGAAAGCCAGAGATTCCCCAAGCAAAGACTTCAAAATCTGGCCCTTGGTATTTTTTTAAACCAGACCTCAGTCTGATATCAATAAAACTGAGGTAACTGCAATATGTTGCCTTTAAGTACCACAGAAGACATATAGATAGGTATAAATCTTATAAATGTACTTCTAAGCAGGCCAGCTAATATAAAATATAGCCTAAATGAAATGTAAATGTTTAAGGGTCTATCATTATCAGTCATGACCATCATATCATCTATCAAGTGGGTAAGAACAAATTTATGTCTAAAAAAAGAATTCTCAGCCACGAATTTGTCCTTTCCCACCAGCTTCCTAACTTAGTTTGGGCAGGTTGTTCAAGATACCCATCTCAGTTTCACACTCCTGCATAAGAGAGAGTGAAGGTTACTTAACAAGGATATGGAGAGGAGTAACTCTTAATTTATTTGTGTTTGTAAAACATTTTTACACCCTTATCTGTAACAGTTGCATAAAAGTACAAGGTGTTAAATGAGAAAAGTATACAGGTATATCACTTGGGATATCAAAAGATTATGTTCAGAACTTGAATAAAGTTTTGTTGCATGGGAATATATTTACAAAAGTTACTCTTCAATTTCAATTAAGTTCAAGTGAAATGTCACTTCAGGTAGGATCAGGAGGAGAAAACTGTCAGAGCTCATGAGATCAGCAGAATTGCTGAGCACTAGTAGCATGCAGAGCTCATAACTTCAGTAGCCTCCCTTCTGGAAAGAAAATAAACTCCGACTTCAATAGATTTGCATTCCTGTGGCACTACTTTCTTTGAAGGTTCCCATAATTTCACTCGGGTGGCTTATGTGTATATTGCTCTGTGCTTTGCTAACGCATTCAGTTCCACTGCAGAGCAGGGAGGAAAACTGGAATTTCACTTGTTTTGCTTGAAGAGAACCCCCACTGCAAAAAGGAACTCTCAGCATGTAGCAGCAGGAGTTTATAAATTCACTGAATACCAGATACATTAACTATCGTTACAAAAACTTAAATGCAGGACATTAGTATCAGGCCATCAATATTGATGATGGAAAATCACGTGCAAGTAATTCTAGTCCTTATTGCTTTTTTTAAAATATGTTTATTTGTAAGTAGTGCTGTTAATTTCTGCCTCAATATATATTCTAATACTTTTTCAGAAAAATAAAGCCTAATACATTTTATTTCATAAAACCACACCTATTCCTCTCTTTAAAAGAACCCTCTGAACACTATTTCACTAACTACTGGCGCTGTATCATTTTACAAAAGAATATTTACCTCTCTGTATTTCCTCAAAGCAACTGCAGGGTGAATCTCTCCAAAGTATGTCTCATTATCAGTAAAAACAATGAAGACATCAGCAGCTGTGTTAGTCTTTTCAGCCCATATCATTGGGAGAGCACAATCAGTGGCACCCATCTCAATCTAAAAATGCATACAAATATTATGAACTTCACTGTAAAATTCTGGAAATGTCAAAGTAATCTAAAAACAGAAAAACAAAACTTAAGAAACCTCCCAGTCTCTGCTTACAAAAGGTACCATTCATTGGACCAATTTTCTACTGACATTAACTGCACAGTTATAGAAATAAATATGTTAAACAATATGTAACACTTGATAAACTGAGCTTAAAAGGTTTTTTTTTTCCTTTAGTGACAAAGAAACAAAATTGGAAGTGAGCAGAGAAACAAAGTATAGTAAAATAATAAGCAATAAGTTAATATAGCAAGAACAATTAAAAAACACCAACACAACCTCTCATGACTATAACAGTCCGTGAAACTCTCTTCCCAAAGATTAAGAACAACATAAATAGGTTCTACCCTGCAATGCAAAATGCATGTCATTGATGTTAACAAAGCTCTGGTCTATTTGTGCAAATTACACTGCAAGACTGAGGTTTAGAATTTGACTACTTATTAGAAAGCCAAGAACACCACTGCAGCGAGTTAGGTGGAACTTAGGAAGTGCTAACTTCCCATAGCCTAATATAATGTATAGCATGTATGTTATAAAGTACAATTTAGCAGCACTGAAAAAATAAGACTTAGGACAGTGCTGCAATTACAAAGAACTGACTATATTAAGATAATTGCTTATATATTTTTTTGAAGAAATAAATATTATGTTCTGAGTAATATTATATGCAAAAGTATCCTGCATCTTCTCCATCCAGTTTACCTTGCTTCCATCCATTTTTTTAAAGCTACTTATCTCAAGTTTATTTAGAGCAAAGTGACATGGAAAAAATGATCTAATTTACTGGACATGTTACAAAAATAAACTAAGTGAGATATACCAAAGAAGGGTCACCGGGGGAAATAATATTCTATAAATAGAGACCTACCAAATTTGTAGCAGAAGTAGGGTGCTTGGCAGCTCTTTTAATCTTGCAGGCTTCCCTGTGCACCCCTCCACCGCTGACTGGCGAAGGGGGCACGCTTGCATCTAGCTCCTGATTGGTGGGGAAGCAAAAACTGTGGTTTTAACTATGGTGCCATTTATGACTCCTGCTGCTGATTTCCCGAGCGCCCTGACTCCTGTTGCTGACTAGCAGGGAGGGAAAAACCACACCATGTTTAAAACCATGGTTTTCGCTTCCCTGCCGATCAAGAGGGAGCAGTGAGGCCCCTCTGTCAATCAAAGGTGGAGGGGAGGGAGGACAAAAAGGGGCACATGGGGGAAACGTAAAAGATTAAAGGAGCTACCATATACTCCACTTCTGCTGTGAATCTGGTAGGTTCCTATCTATAAAAAACAAAACATAGATTGAAGTCAATATTACAATTAATTATGAAAATAACTATGGCTGATTCCGATCCGACTACCGATCTGCAGTCCAGCAGCATAGAAAGCACCGTCTGGCAGGTAAGTCTGTTAGAGGAGGGGTGTGGGGCTGAGGCAGGTGCAGGTGCGGCACAACCAGGGTGGGGCAGGGCACTGCACGGGATGAAGACGGCAGCTTGACCTGCGGTGTGGCTTCCGCCACTGCGCGCATCCCAAGGGGAAGCATGGGGGGCACATGCCCCCCTCAGATCTGTGTGCGGGGCAAGGGCAGGCTGCCTGTTGTGGGCTTAGGGCCTGTGCTACTCCAGCCTCTTCATGGTGGCTGTGCTTGGGCCGAGTGCGGTGGGCAGTGGCTGCAGTGCTGAGAGGGGAGCGAAAGGGTGGGGCAAGAGCCACCCCAAAATTCACCGTACCCCAACCTCCCAGCACCACTACTGCACACCCCGCCCCAAGAGCAATCAGTGGGAAGAGACTAGAGCAGCCCCAGTCCCAAGTGCACAGCAGGCAGCCCGTCCTCGCCCCAGATCTGGAGGGCACATTGTTGTATTGCAGTAGCTATAATTGCTTTAATTACTTATATTGCTATCTTTTATAATTAATTATTTAGCCATTAAGATAAAGTTAATCTTGTTACGATATACTTCCCATAATATTTTAATCAGTCATTATTGTTCTGGAATTAACCATCTATTTAAAATTTCCTATTGCTTAGCATAAATATATTTGACTTATTGGTCTCATGATTTTAAAACTTAAATTTGGTATAGAAAAATGCTTATGTAAGGTCTGTGGTATGTCTGGCATGTTTAACAACGGGTAATGAAAGAAGGAATGATGTATGTATGTGACAATGTGAAGGAAGACAGTCCTCTCGCAGCAGGTGAAAATAGCTTTCTCTGGTTTAACAGTTAAAGGTTGCAGTGATGTAGAGTCAGCAGTTAAGGATTACCAAATACTAAATCATGCCTTCACCCCGATGGCTGAAGACTACAAGCAATGACCCTGCTGAAGATTGCAAACTGGAAATCTGGAAGATCACATCCTACCAATCCTAGCCTGTCAACATAACAAGGAAGATGACCTTCGCGTCTGACTCAGCGGAATCCATAGGCATTTATGGACAGCTATCGCTATGAAGAATGAACACAAAGAAAAGACTTTGGGTCTGCCCACCTGCACGAAAAAGTGCTGGACACATCCAACAAGACCTGACTCCATTCCTTGTCATCAGTCCGGCTGGCCACCAGACTAACCCAAGCATCTTTAGAACTTGGTAACCTTAACCTTTGCAGGACTGTCTAACTATCCGTGTGTGCGTTTAGTTTTTTGTATGAATGAATGAATATGTATGGGAATGAGTGAAGCAGCTAACCTTACTGGGTTTTTTTTATTCTTTTCATGCTGTATGTTTTATGTTTTAACAAATGTATTGTTGTGCCTTATCCCCTGAGAAGATCCCTAACTGGTTTTAATTCACACTGTATGCCCTCTGCGGACAACAACATGCCCCCATTGCCTCCCCTGGGGATGTGGGGAGCAGAAGGAGCCACCTCCCGGACAAGCTGTTGACTCAGTCCTGTGCCCCGTCCCACCCCAGCTGAGCAGCGCCTGCCCTAGCCTCACTCCCTCCCTCACTGTGGGGGTGCCTCGATCTGCCCCCCACACCCTTTCCCCGCAACAGACTTACCAGCCAGCTACTGCTCTCCAGGCTGGCAGGCTGCACTCCTGACCACGTGCATGCTGCGGCTGTGTGCATACGTGCGGCATTTATCCGTGACATTATCAGTCACATCAGCCAAAAAAAAGCCGACTGCTGATAATGTCAAATTTCCTTTTGTTGCTGCCGATACAATACGGACTGATGTATCAGTGCACCTCTAAGTGATTTTCATGATTGTCAAAAATGAAGAAACAATTTATCATCATCACCACTCCCACCACAGTGTAAGAGAAGTAAAAGTTTTTACATACTGTAGACATTTCCTCTAATACTTGAGGTAATGCCATGTCTACTGTCACTGGACAGGGGACAATTTCATGTGAAAAGGCAACAATATGGGAATCTCTCTCAGTACGTGCAACAACCTAAAAAAACAAGGAAAAAAAAAAAAAAAAAAAAAAAAATTCAAACATTGCAATAATAACAATTTGCAGTACATGTACATGTTTAGCCATTCAAATTAGTGTCTAATGAACATACAAAACACCCAAATACCAAATTACATCCACCATATGGATATGCTGCAAACCCAAGCCCAAAGTAGCAGATGGATCCAAGATATCCCAAAAGAGGGCACAGAAGCAGTAACCCACACTGCAGGGGTGTCTGCATCTCCTGTAATGCCAACCCTCTCCCTGCCAGCACTACATGAGCCTCCAGGAACTTTTTAAATCCTACTCCCGTTACCCTTCATGCTCAGAGGCGTGTCTCCTCCCCATCTCTTCTGCCCCTCCTTCACTTACCTGCTGCTTTCCCTGATGTCCCAAGGGAAGCTCCAGAAACCCTTATGCCTGCCCCAGCCTGCCCCAGCCAAGCTGCAGAAGGGCTGGGCTCAGCTGGGGCTACGGGCCAGACTGCAGCAACTAAGATGGATTGGGGGGGTGGGGTGGGAAGGTTCTGCCCCTCCCCAACCCACATATGCCTGCTCCCAAGGGACAAGGCAGGGAGGGGGAAAACTGTTCTGCCACTGTGTTGTCGCTACTGCCCCATCTGCAGTTGAGTACCGCCCCTCATAGCCTGGCTGAGGCAGGCAGAAGCACCTTTGGAGTATTCCTGTCCCAGGGACAGTGGCAAAAGCAGCAGCAGGTAGAAAGCGAAGTGGAGGGGAGGGGAGGTGCTTCTCAGCATCAAGGGTTAGGGGTGAAGAAAGGGTTCACCTGCTTTAAAGGATCTGAGGAAAGGAAGGATAGAGAGCAGCAGAGTAAGGACCCTGGACTACAAAAAAAGAAGACTTCAATTCACTCAGGGAATTCATGGGCACGATCCCCTGAGAACTCGTGGGCACGATTCCCCTGAGGGGCATACGAGTCCAAGAGAGCTGGTTGTACTTCAAAGAAGCCTTACTGAAAGTGCAGGAACAACCCATCTTGATGTGTAGGAAGACTAGCAAACATGGCAGAAGACCAGCTTGGCTGAGCAGGGAACTTTTCAGTAAAGTATATCTCAAAAAGGAAGCTTATAAGAAGTGGAAACTTGGACAAATAACTGGGAAAGATATAAGTGCACTGCTCGGGCATGCTGGGATGAAGTCAGGAAGGCCAAGGCGCAACTGGAGTTGCAGCTAGCAAGGGATATGAAGGGTAAAAAGAAGAGTTTCTACAAGTATGTCAGTAGCAAGAGGAGGATGAAGGAAAGTGTGGGTCCTTTCTGAGTGGAGGAGGCAACGTTGCGACAGAGGATGCAGAAAAGGCTGAAGTGTTCACTGCCTTCTTCTCTTCAGTCTTCACAGGCAACGTCAGCTTCCAGACTAACTAACGCATGAGGCAGCACGGTATTGGGAGCAGGCAAGCAGTCCTCAGTGGTGAAAGAACAGGTTAGGGACTACTTAGAAAAGCTGGATGTGTATAAGCCCATGGGGCTGGATAGGATGCACCCGTGGGTGCTGAGGGAGTTGGCTGATGTGAGTGCAGAGCCATTGGCCATCATCTTTGAAAACTCATGGTGACCAGGAGGGGTCCCAGATAATTGGAAAAGGGCAAACAGAGTGCCCATATTTAAGAAAGGGAAGATCCAGGGAAATACAGGCCAGTCAGCCTGACCTCACTCCCTGGAAAAATCATGGAGCAGATCCTCAAGGAATCCATTTCTAAGCACTTGAAGAAGAACAAGGTGATTAGGAACAGTAAGAATGGATTCACCAGGGGCAAGTCATGCCTGACCAACCTGCTTGCTTTCTATGATGAGGGGACTGGCTCCGTGGATGCAGGAAGACTGGTGGATGTGGTGTACCTTGATTTTAGCAAGGCTTTTGATAAGGGAACTGGGCTTATTTAGTCTAGAGAAGAGGAGACTGAGAGGACTTAATAGCAGCCTTCAACTACCTGAAGGAGTGTTTGAAAGAGGATGGAGCTAGACTGTTCCCAGTGGTGGCAGATGACAGAACAAAGAGCAATGGTTTCAAGTTGTAGCAAGGGAAGTTTATGTTTGATATCAGGAAGAATTTTCTCGCTAGGAGGGTAGTTAAACACTGGAACAGGTTATCCAGAGAGGTGGTGGAAGCTCCATTCTTGGAGGTTTTGAAACCAGACAAAGTTTTGGCTGGGATGATCTAGTTGAGGATGGTCTTGCTTTGAGCAGGGGGTTGGACTAGATGACCTCCGGAAGTCCCTTCCAACCCTAACTTTCTATGATTCTATGACTTAAACGTTTTCAGATGCTCCCATGTTGTACTTCATTCCAAAAAGGGAGATGCAGCTGCACCACTGTACTCCCTCTGGATCAACCAACCCCTAACAAAGCAAGGTTAATACCTGGACTCAATGCTGCCTTTACAAAGCTCCCCACATTCTTCTACATCCTGTAAAGATCTTGAATAAATAACTGGGAAGTCTAATCACTCACTCTCTCTCTACACACACACCCACACACACTTAGCTTTTAGCTTCCATTTGTAAAACTCGATTTTTTTTTTCTGTTCTGTTAAGGGAAACTACTATATTTTTAAATGCAGAAAAGTTCTGTAACTTAAACACAAAGCTAATTTAAAGGGGGTTTTTTTGTTTGTTTTTTTTGTAAATTTGAAAAGTTACACAAAACTGCTGCCTCCAACGTGCACAGAAAAAAAATCCGTCAGCACAGGTTTTAACTAATCCCGTAAAAACAAAAGAGGGAAACTTTTTAAAACCTTAAAAACAAAAGGTTACATAATTTTACTTCAAAGACAGATGCTTACAGGCTTCCTATATTAAAATTCCAATTAAGTCAGGGGTAGGGAATTATTTGGGCTCACAGGATTTTTGATGATTGTTTAGGTTAGGCATGATTGTTGGGCCCACAGGATTGTTTAGGATAGATATTAGGAAGAATTAGAATAAATACTTTAAACAAACAAAAGTAGCCTGAAGACTGCCCGATTATGGTAGGGACCAGCTTAGTACAATGCTTACTCTTATTGAATCTGGTTACTTACTAAAAGCCTCATGGGCATAAAAGGACCTGCAGGAGGGCTGGTATGGGAGCCACTTTCAGTGCATCAAGCACAGATTTCCCCAGTGAGGTAGAAACATCTAGTGGCAACTTTCAAAGTAAGAAGAGCAATGAGAACTACCTCAGCACACTGGATTGTGAATGGTAAAGAATTCAGGACAATTAATCCAACTAATCAATTCTTACCATACACATTGCTGCAGCAACTGTACTTGCATCTAACACACTACCAAGAACTTTCTGTGACATGGAACCACTGACATCAACTGCAAGTATGAAGCGCTTTCCTGTTGGTTCTACCACCTAAAATGGAAAAAGAAATACCGTAACTCCACATTTTGCTATGTATATGTATTTTTTAGTCCTCTCAAGTAATTTACTCCATCAATACAGTTAAAAGCAATTCAGGAAGTCAAATTATTTCCTCCTCTCTTTTTAGAGCAATATCAATCTGTTGTAAAAACAAACCCACAGCTATTAAAACAGATACTAGATAGCCCATCACTCAAAAAAATATCCCACCAAACTTTCAAACTAGGGGTGCACCGACAGAGATTTTTTGGGTCAATACCAATGGCCAATTTTTAGCAAGCCATATTGGTCGATAATGATCGAATTCCGACATGCAGCCAGGCAGCATGGGGAGAGGTGTCTGACTGGCAAATCTGTTATGAGGTAAAGAGGTGAGGGAAGACGCATTGCAGGGGACAGAGGCCCCCATGGTGAGGGAGGGGGTGAGGCTGGGGCTGCATAGCCAGAGTGAAGCGGGGTAGGGGCCTGGTGTGCGATGGACCCACAAGCGGCTTGTCTGGGAGTGCAAGGAGGGTGCAGCTCCAGCTTAGGGGGCGCGTGCTTCCAGATCTGTGCATGGGGTGATGGTGGGGTGTGGTTGGGGCAGCACAAGGCTCTTCCCAGTGGGCTGGGCTCGGGATGGACAGCAGCGGCACTAGAAGCAGGGCTATGGGGGAGCAGCTGTGCCAACCTCCAAATTCATCATAGCCCCCCCAAATCCCCCTCCCAGTGGCAGCCCGTTCTCGCCCCACGTGCAGATCCGTGGGCACACACCCCCATAGGGTGCGCAGTGGTGGGAGCCACGCCCCCGCAAGCCACTCATGGCTCTATCCAGCAACTCACCTTGGCTGTGCAATGCCTGCCCCTGCCCCAGCCCCTCCTTCACTGTGGGCCTCAATCTGCCCCCACCACAGCCCTTCCCTCACAAGACTTACTAGTTGGAGCTGGTTGCTTTCTACACTGTGGGGCTGCACTCCTGGCCGCCTGTGTGCTGTGCTACAGCTGGGTGCATTCACTGGGCATTTATCAGCAACATTATCAGCCACGTCAGCCAAAAAATGACTGTTGCTGATACTGTCAATTTTCTTTATATCTGTGCCAATCCAATATGGGACCAATGTATGGGTACACCTCTATTTCAAACCCACATGCAGTTTGAGAAGAAAAAGGAACTGATAAAGCAGTAAGGGCAAATTTTCTAATAGTTTTAGTCAGGTTTGCTGAGTTTGAACAAACCTGACCAAACCTGAGACTGCTCCTTGCACAACATGCATCTTATGCAAGTTAAATCAGATGCCAGCTGCTATTACTGTACCTCACTACTAGGTGGTGGGTAACCAGTAACAGCCTCTACGTTAGGTAAAACTGTTACTTCACAGTAAGCTACAAAAACATGAAACCTAAATTAGCATAAAGCATATTATTATACTTTACCCCTTATTCATTTTCTAGACTGGGTAAAGATCTCTCATTATAGAGGCTTACATGGCCTGTTTGCTTCTTGTTTACACTAACATTGTTAGGTCATAAATCCAGACCCTTAGTGCAGGTGTACCCCAAAAGCTTATAATGTTTTAAAATATTCTAGCTTTACAATTTAACGTGTTAGTCATCAATGGACCATTACCTTGAATGTTTTGTAAAATGCAGCATCAAGAGCCTCTAAAACATCCTTATCAGGACGCCACCGAAGCTTGCCCTGGATTCCACGTTTTCTTTTATAGGTCTCTAATGCAACCAAAACATGGAACGGATGTATTCGAGCCTACAAGCAAAACATATCAAAAAGCCTAGGTTTAAAAATACATGGAAGTTTGTATTTTTTTTTTTATGCTGAACAGACAACACATCGGGTAGATTACGGTTGCAATTTTCTGATTATTTTATTACAGCTTCAAGTTTTAAAAAAATACTATAGCCACTCATCCATAAATGAATACAAAATCATAACATACCATTTTTACCTGTAGAAAAGAGAACAAACCTTCTGGCCCATCCCAATTACAGTTCAAACCCCTTTAAAATCTGAGGAGTCCCATGGCTCTCAGCCTCTCTTCATAAGGCCTATGTTCTTGTCCTCTGATCATGCACCTGGCTCTCCTCTGGACTCTCTAAATCTTCTCCTCATTCTTCTTGAATTGCGCGGCCTAGAATTGGATGCAGTACTCCAGCTGCGGCCGCACCAAGGCTGAGTACAGCGGGAGAATGACATCCTGAGATTTATTTGAGATGCATCTATGGATGCAGGCCAGAGTTTGGTTTGCTTTACCAGCTACGACATCGCATTGGTGGCTCATGTTCATCTTGTGGTCAATCATAACCCCCAAGTCTCTTTCAGCACTGGTGCTAACAAGTGTAGAACTGCCAGCCTATAAGCATACTGCAGGTTTCCCCTCCCCCGTGAGGTGAAGTACCTTACATTTATCGGTACTGAATGTCATCAGGTTTGTATCCGCCCACTTACTAAGTTTATCCAAGTCAGCCTGAATCAGTAGCCTGTCCTCAGGTGTGGACAATATGCCCCAAAGTTTATTGTCATCGGCGAACTTAGCCAGTGCGCTTCTGACACCAATGTCCATATCGCTGATAAAGATGTTAAAGAGAACCAGTCCAAGGACAGAGCCTTGGGGGACACCACTGTTTACGGAGCGCCATAATGATTCACTACCATCAACCACTACTCTCTGGGTCTCACCTTGGAGCCAATTTCCCAGTCATCGGACTGTGGTGTAGCTGAGACCACAGTTGGCCAATTTTTCCCATGAGGAGGTCATGGGACACTAGATCAAAAGCTTTTTTAAAGTCCACATATATGACGTCAATCCCTTGTCCAGGTGATATGTCACCTGGTCATAGAAGGAGATGAGATTGGTCAGGCAAGACCTACCCGTGACAAACCCATGCTGGCTATCCCTCAGGATGTTGCCCTCAGCCAGTTTATCCAGTAGGGTCTCCTAGATAATTTTCTCCAGAATCTTCCCGTGGATTGAGGTCAAGCTGATTGGCCTGTAATTCTTGGGATCTACTTTCTGCCCTTTCTTTAAGATGGGTACCACATTGGCCTTCTTCCAGTCTTCAAGTACTTCACCTAAGCGCCACAATTTGCCAATGGTTGGGCTATGACACCTGCCAGCTCTTTGAGTACTATAGGGTGTAAATCTGCCAGGACCAGCTGACTTGAAGGTGTCCAGCCTCTCAAGATGATTCTTTACTAGATCAACACTGATGCTGGGTATAAATATGCTCTCACCCTGGCCGTTCCGCGCCTTGCTAGACAGGGTGGTCCCATTGGACTGACAAAAGACCGACAAAGTACCCATTAAACAGATTGGCCTTTTCCTGGGGGTCGGTTATCAGCTGTCCCATTTCGTAATAACCTAGACACCTTCTGTCCCTGCCTCCATCCCCTGAAGGGCATCCTTAAGCACTGCCCTTCGACAAAGTCACAAGCCAGTGTCCATCAGGCATGCCACCCAGGGAGGCCAACCAACTCTGTAAGCCAGGAGGCCGGCTAGGTCCTTGTCCCTCAGTTCAGGTGGCCAAGACAGTGGCTAAGCTAATATTTCTTTTACAGTAACCTACCATAGACCTTAAATATGTTTCATCTCAAAACTAAATGGAAAAAGAAACCCTTTTTCAATGACAAAGAAGGAAAATAAATTTAATGTAGTTATTAAAGAAATGGATATATTCAGTTCCTTGAAGCTGACCAGATTCTTGTATACATTATGTTAATGAGGATTTACACCTTCTCTTCTCTCTTGGTTCTGTGCATCTCTTTTTTCCTCCCTTGGTTCTCTGCTTGCCATCTTAGCTCCTCAGTCATTTATTTACACTGGGAGACAAGTACCCACCCAACTTCACCTCTGTTCCTCTCCTTAGTACAGGGGCCTTAAAAAGGAAGATATATTTCATATTCTTGTTCTACTCCTAGACTCCTGCTGGTCTTACACCCTTCTGTAAATAACTGAAATATTAAACCTGTGAATTTATAAGCCTGAAGTATTTTTTATTATTATATATTTACAACAACACTAACTGAGCCAGAGCCTGAAAAAAGTGGTGCTTTGTTATCCAGTATTATAAGAGTTTCAGAAGAACATGCAAAATAGATTAGAAACACTGCATAAGAGTGCTTATAGATCATTTGGGGCTGGAAAGGACCTTGTAGGTCATTGGGTCCAGCCCCCCTGCACTAGGCAGGAAAAGACAGCTGGGGTCAAGTGACCCCAGCGAGGTGACTGTCCATTCTGCTTTTCAAGATTTCCAGGGTAGGTGACGGCACTACCACGGGAGGGAGTTTATTCCACAATGTGGACACCCTGACTGTGAAGGAGTTTTTCTTGGAACTGAGCCTGAAGCAGCCTTCCAGGAGTTCATATCCATTGCTCCTGGTCTTCCCCAGGGGTGCCCTGGTGAACAGCTGTTCACCCAGTTCTTGACATATTCCCGATATAGCGGTAAGCCACAACCAAGTCCCCTCTCAGCCTTCTCTTCTATAGGCTGTAGAGGTCCAAGTCCCTCAGTCTCTCCTCATACGGATTGTCTTGCAAGTCCCTGATCACACCGGTAGCTCTTCTCTGGACCCTCTCAAGTTTTTCCACATCCTTGTTCAAGCGCGGCGTCCAGAACTGGATGCGGTACTCCAGCTACGTGTCACCAGAGTGGAGTACAGTGGGAGTATTGCTTCCTTAGTTTTGCATGAGATGCAATGATTAATGCATGCCAGTGTGTTGTTTGCCCTGCTGGCCACAGCATTGCACTGCCAGCTCATGTTCATGCGATGGTCGATCACTACCCCTAGATCCCTTTCGGCCGTGGTGCAAGTCAAATTGTTGCCACCAAGCCTGTAGGTATGTTGTGGATTGCTTTCCCCCAGATGGAGCACCTTACGCTTCTGAATGTTAAACTTCATCTGGTTCCAGTCTGCCCAACTCTCCAGCCTGTCCAGGTCTGCCTTTATTTCCAACCATTCTCCCCCATAACTTGGTGTCATCTGCACACTTGGCCAGCGAGCTTTTCACTCCCACATCCAAATCATTGATAAAGATGTTGAAAAGCACCAGTCCAAGCAGGGCCCCCCCAGGACACCACTGGCCACTTCTTGCCAGGATGACACAGATCCGCTCATGAGAACTGTCTAGGTCCTACCATGCAGCCAGTTTTCCACCCACTGAACTGCAGTTAAGCCCACAATCTTCCAATTTTTTCCACAAGGATATCATGGGATACTAGATCAAAAGCCTTTTGGAAATCTAGGTATATAACATCAACCTTCTCTCCCATGTTCAGGTGGTGAGAGACCTGTTCGTGGAAGGAGATGAGACTGGGAAGACAAGACCTACCCACGATGAAGCCATGCTGGCTGTCATTCAGAATCTTACCCTCAAAGAGCGTATTGCACATAGATTCTTTAATGAGTTTTTCCAGGATTTTCCCTAGGATGGAGGTTAGGCTGATTGCCTGGGTCCTGTAGTTGCCTGGGTCCTCCCTCTTCCCCTTCTTGAAGATGGGCACAATGTTGGCCATCTTCCAATCCTCAGGGATTTCCCCTGTGTGCCACAATTTCTGAAAGAGTTTTGCCAGGAGTAATGCAATGACTTCAGCCAGCTCCATCAACACCCGTGGCTGAAGTCCATCTGGTCCTGCTGACGTATAAACGTCTAGCTTTTCTAGTTGGTTCTGCACCTCAGCCGCCACAGTGGGAAGGCTGGTATCCCCACCATGCCCCCTGTGAACCTTATCTCACTTGTCTTTCCCTTTGTTCCAGTGAAATAGTGAAGCAAAAAGGGCATTCAGGAGGAGTTCAGTTTTTCCCTGAGTGTCCATTACCAGCTGTCCCGAGGTGTTAAGCAGGGGCCCCATGCTTCCATTTGTTTTCCTTCTGTTCCTTACATAGCTAAAAAAGGACTTCTTATTGTCCTCAACTCCCTTGGCCAACTTAAACTCAGTTTCTTCCTTAGCTTTCCTAATCATTTCCCTATCATTTCCCTAGAACTGTGGACCACTGTTGTAAAGCCCTCCTTGAGGACTGTCCCTAGCTTCCACTGTATGTAACAGTACCTTATGTTACTATATTAAATGCCACTCCCCCCCCTCCCTCACAGTGAAAGTAAACAAAGTTCCATTTTTTAAAAGTTATTCATTATGTCTTGGGCATATTCTTGAAGGTACACACATGCTTGAGTGCTTTCCTGAATTGAGATCAACAAATAAAACCAAGTCAAATGAAGATGAGTACATTAAGATTTTCAAACAAAGATAATCTTCGAGATGATGGTGCCGAGTATTTCAATCTACTATTTTGAAGGCCACAAACACGTACATTTTTAATAGGAAAATTCAGTTGTCTGAAGAAATACAATTTAGGAAGGAAAAAAAAAGATACCAAACCACACACAAATACAAGCCTCAAGTGATAAGAACAGTTCATACCTTTTTTAACATTTTCTCATTTTTCAGTCTTTCACATACTAGTGACACTTCTGGGCTTCCTGGTTCTAGTACTGAAATTGCTGTCATCTTTCCCAAATTCCTCAACATTGCAGTAAGGGGCATTTCCTGTAGCAATGCTTTCCATACCTCATATGATATCATAATAGGGAGAAAAAAAAGAGAGGCAAAACTCAGTAAAAGAATTCGTATCTTGTGTGTACATAAGACATAAAGTAAAAAGGTAAAAATATATAAATATATATTAAAATGTTAAAACTATTAGACACATTTGTCTCATTTTATATTAACTACTTATATCATTTCAAAACAGCCTTAAAATGTTTTCTTTGGTATAAAAAAAATCATTAGCAATTTAGACTTAAGATGCACAAAATATTGCTTTATAAAACACTAGCTTGTATGATACTATTCTAATTTACCCACCTCTTTAGATTTCAAATGGTTTGTTGGGAGATGCTCCCTAACTAAACTATACTCTTCGATCAAATGAATAACTTCTAATTCATCTTTTGTGCGTTTTACTCTTTCCACTGCTTCCAGATATTTTAAGAGTTTTTCAGTCTCAGCAGAAAGTGCCTTCTCTTTATATGCCTCTTGAACTTCCTTCCATCTCTTGGTGATATATTTAGCGACTATAGCAATTCCTATTGAAAAAGAAAAATATTTTCTATTCAAGATTATGGTGAAGTACTAGAGCTTTTAGGTCTTGTACATAAACAAGTTAGAAGCATACTAAGGTTTCAGTTCTCTAAATGTGGAGACTGTAATACATTAAAATGTATAATTCACAATACTTTAGGTTTCTTTTAAATAAATATTATAAAATGAATAAAATGTATGCTCTTAACATCTCTACCCTCTTTGACACAAAACACTTAAGTATGAAGAATACGAGGAAAAACCTACTCAGAAAATGCAATGAAAAGTCCATGTCCAATTTGCAGCTGATACGTATTATGTTAACCTTGAGTTCCATGCAGCAGAGTAATCTCAGGTTGCCTGTGCTTTTCATTTGTAAAACTAGGGTTTTTTTTAGTTTAAGGGGAGGCATACAACTAAGATCATTGTCAAATCTAAATTGCACACAACGTAGCTCATTGAATACTGAAAAATAAGTGTATTAATAAAATTTTCTAAGTGATATGAAAAAAGAAAAAAATAATAGTCAGCACTATTAAACACATCCTTGACAGCAATAAGACAAGTAATAAAAAAACTAGTTTACTCTTGAAGAGCAAAGAGAAATGGGCTATGACCTTTTGTAGTCTTCTCTAATCTGCAGGATACCATCAGCGGACACCATCATGCTAAAATGACATTTAAGCTTCCAGGACACAGACATGGAAGAAACAACAGATTTACAACACTACATAATGTTTAGTTATACTAAAGATTAATAAAATACCGTTACCTTCATTGGCAGGTTTTAGATGGGACAACCTCAGAAGGTCTTTATGAGACCAGCCATTCCTTTGTTTATATTTTGTAAATGCTAGAGACAACGCC